TCCTGGCCTCGCTAGGAGCGATCGGACGCTACTAGTTTGATACGACCCCTTTCAATCGTAGTAGCGTGGCACTTGTTACTACGAAGTTTTGGTGAAAAGGCCCGCTCTTCCAGGCTTCCACCGGAGGCCACGGACGCCTCGTTGCGGAAGATGTGCCAGTGCTTCGGGGTGAAGGCGCGCGGGTTCAGGTCGAGGGTCCAAGCTTTTCAAAGCGAAAAAGCCTTTTGCGTGGATTTGGCATCGGGCTGGATGTGGCTGGATTTTTTGGGCAAGAAGTTGATGGTTTATGTCCTGTTAAAGTCTCGACACTGTGCCCACTGTGATTAGGACTGAATGGTGGCCATTGGCCACAGGTGAAGAGGGTGAACATTGTACGCGATGCCGCTTGCTAAAGCGTACAATATTGATGAGTCTCACTTCCTGTGGTGAAGACGAGAACACGTCGAAACACGTCTCGTCCAGGTGATGCGCGTGCGACGGCCAAATACCTTCGAAGCAGAGGTGTTGTTGGGCCCGCTGGAAGGCCCAGCCATGGATATTTGTTGCTTCTGTTGAGAAGGAGATGTCATGCTGGAGAAATGAAGAGTAGGCAGAGTTTGAGTACAGAGGCCATGTGGAAAGATGCCTGCAAAGGTAAGTCCGAGGAGTTGCAACTGGATGGGCTGGCTTCTCCGCCCAAAGGTGAATTGTTTGAAGCTGAGGCTGGCAGAGCCGGAGCGAAGCAGGCACGCTTCAGATTACGCTTTGGGATCACGTGTTGGATGCCAGGCTGGCCGTATTCGTAAGGATTATGAAGCCGACATTTGTTGACCTTTGCTTTGCTCCAAATCACGAAGTTTTTTACTGTACCGGCCTTCAGATAGCATTACACAGTTCGGGTTCCCAGGGTTAGCAGGGCAAAATAACTATTGTACTGTAGTGTAGTCGATGCTTGAATGGAGTTCTTCCCCAGCCATCCTGTTTGGTCAAGTGCTTCACATGTTGGACCATTGTGGGAGCTATTTTGAAAAGCTTGTGCAGCTGGACCAGTACATTCTCCGCCCATTTTGTTACCTCAGTGAAGTTCAAGTCCTGTTCATCTAAAGACGGTGGGACGTTGGATTTACAGAAAACGCTGCGTTTCTTTTCCACCACGAAAACACGTCGCGACTGCAGGCGAACCCGTCTTCTGGCAAGTTTTCTAGAGAATCGAGCAGGTTGCCAAGTCAGCGCACCTGGGCTGCAAATTTCTGGTTTTATCTTCTGCTCGAGTCGATGCCTTTCCGTACCAATCAACGTCTTAAGACCCTTATATATAAAATAAAGGAAAAAAGGCAGGGTTGGAGCTCCATGCTGAGATCAAATTGAGATCAACAGCGATTCGTTTGGAAGGAATCAATGAAGTCCGAACTCCAAGTGTCCAAGAATGTGTGTGTTGCTGGGAAAGCCATATCCAACTTTGGCATTGTTGCAGGGTACTCTCTAATGGCAAAACATAGATTGTAAATTACAATCAAATCACGAAAGCCAGCCGGTAGGCAGGGCTTGAGGCTTCTTTAGCGAACGAAGTGAGTAGACTGGGGGTGGTTGCGTACGTGGACTACTCCGGAGAGGTGAACCCAGAGCCTGGTGGGGGAGAGCGACAAAAAGAGGCGGGCCACTGGGTAGCGAGGGTGTTGTGATGTCGGTGATGTAATTGACGGCAAGTAGTGCATCATCAGCATCATGAGGGATTCTGGACGCTATGTAAACTGTTTCTGAAGCTTTCCCGGACTACAGGGGTGCCCTTTTTCACGTCCACAGCGCCTCGACGAAAAAGGGCACCCCGTCTCAGCACACTCTACCAAGCCTTTCTCGGAATGGGTTGGCATCATGAGCGGTGGCACGTTCAGGCACCTGGAACCCTTCCACTTGACATTGGCAAGTGGATGCTGCTCACGATGTTACAAACTTCAAGGCGTTAGAGTCGTTTTGCTGCCCTTTCTATCTGGCACCCGGAGCGGGGTGCCAGATGGAGCTGTTCGACTCCCTTTGCTGCCCTTTCCACCTGGCACCCGGCTCGGGGTGCCAGATGGGAGAGGCTGCTTCCATTTTCTTTACTCACATCAAGACGACAAAGGGCACCCCGTCCTAAGCCTATGTGTTTACTATCTATTTCCGTTCTATCTCGAACGACGGGCATATCCACTTGACCGCTGCCGGATCCTCTTTGTCCGCTCTACCTGTGTACACATATGTATCCTGACGAAAGCTTGCCGATAGCCTCGCCCAGGGGCCTCCCACAATCTTCTTTGTTTACTCACCAGCAACGTGCCATGTAAATTGCTTTGACTAGGGGTGGGAGTTCACGTCGATGAGAGGAAAGGCCAGACAAGGGGACATGAAAAGCTGGTGAGGTACCCCATTCGGAGAATAATTCATTGAAACCCTACCACACCTTTCCTGGATCACACCTTTCCTGGATCACAGTTTTCAAGACCCTCAAGTCTTTACGTTGTGGCAAGGATTCTGAACTCGTCAGCTACTTACCTCTTCCTTGTATCGCAGCCTTCGGTCTTGTTCAAACAGACTTGCGTGCTTCGCGCGGTGGACATGGCAAAGAAGGCGGCGCCGGTAAAGTCTCCCCTGAAAAGGGGGACCAAACGTCCAGGATCAGGATTCCTACAAGTTGTTCTTCCGTTTGAGCTTCATGGGGCCCATGAAGCTCTGGAGCAAAAGAAAACATGCCCAGGCATGGACTGCAGAGGCGCCTGGGGTGGGTAGTGTCGCGGAACTTGCCACTTCCTGAAAAAGGAAGCTAGCGCGCTGTAGCAATCACGCGGTCCATGACACCTTGCGACCCAGCAAAACAGAAGAAAAGCGCGCGTCGCAGAGGCGCCTGGCTTCGCTGGCGTGGCCGCAACTGCCGGCTCTCCTGAATGAAACCCACGAAGCCATGGGGCCAAATAGATCAGTGCGGCACAGGGGCGCCTAGCTGCTCTGGGGAGGCGGTAGCAATCCCAGTGCGTACATCCCACAGGCGCCTTGCTTGGAAGATTTGGCCGTGTTTGGTGGAGGTTCTTCTCCTGCGCTGTAGCGAGAATGAAATGATCAAGGCATCCATTCGTGTGAGATCACTCTGCACAACAACACCGGCCAGTGGTGAGTTTGTACAATCTCCTTGCTGTACCAGTGCACTTATTGAACTATTTTGTACTTATGACATTCCACGTTGCATCCATACCGCGGAGGTTAGATCTGTTACTGGAAACCATAACACCAAGTCTTTGCCCGGACCTACCCCAAGGGCACCCCCTGAGCCAGAGGCTGGCTTTCGTCCCCTCCCTTCTCAGGCATGTAATAATATAGCGAAGCACAGATTTTAATAGCGGGGAAAAAGGGATCTTAATAGCGTAAATATGCATGGGACAGGGGCTGGAAGTGCAAGAAGACTCACGGGCAGCAGAGACCTCAAAGAATGCCGCCCATCTGTTTTTTTGTTGACCAAAAGCAGAACCTTGAGTGTCTTTGAGACCTCAAATTCTTCCAAATCGTCTCAAGGCAACAAGTCGCTTGGATCATCGCGAAAGGTGTGTCAGGACAGTTTGCCCGTACATTGCATTCTTCCAAAACGTCTTAGGGGTCCGAAGTCGTTTGGGTCCGTTGTACATGTCGAGTCTCAAATTTTAATCTCAAATAATAGCCAAAACCACCAACAGCACAACCGTGCGTGTATCTGAGGTGGTTGCTACTTGAGATACGCCCAAACGGACACAATCGCCCGGCCTCATTTCGTTGACTCAGTTGACTTAAAATAACGAAGCCTATCGCAACCACGGGACCCCCAGCGCAGCAACCCGTTTTCGGAAAAGTCTTTGTTGCTTTGTGGTGTAGCCTGCTCCTTTCGTTTTGTTTCAAGGAATCATGGTGATCTTTTTGGAGACTTGCAATGTCATGGGAGTAGTCCGGAATTCTTAGCCCTTTTTGAGTGGCAAGCCCACAGCCAAGAACAACCAGCAAATACAGGTAAAATTGTCCAAATTGTTTGTGGCTGTCAACATATTATGGGGCCTGCGAATGTTCAGTCTATAGGGCCAGCTTCCGCAATTAAGGGCCCAGAGCTTCGCAATTAAGAGTTCTTTGTTTTTCGTCATTAAAAGGCACCCTCACATTATTGAGAAATCTTTGAGCATCAACTCCTCGCTCGCTGGCCTCGATGTCTCATCAAAGAAACTGAGGTTCGTGGTGGCTCACCATTCAGATGCTGAAGTGTTCTTCATTCGCAGTCTAGCTGCGAAGTGGGTCATGGGTCGCCATCAGCGGTTGCTTACTTCCAACACGGACATGGGCTTAAAACAGTCCGGATGAAGACACCTTGTAGGCAGTGTTGTGACTGAGACACCCTCAAATCCTTGGCATTTGCGAAATGGGGCTTGGTGTGGAGGGCCCCCATGTGGAGTCAAGTTTTGTAGAACTTGCACTTTACAGGTTTGCCAACTCACATGTGTATCAGTTCACCGTATCAAACGCAGTGATTTGGAGATTTTTGAGGAGAGTGAAGCCTTTGTGCTGTGCACATTACCTACTTATATACTCAACTTTAAATGCATGTGCATATGCGGCCAAACAGGTCAAGGCAGTAAAAAGGCCCTCTTGGCCCCAGACAGCTTCACGAAGAAAGCATTCTTGCACAGAGGCGTTTGGCCAGGACAAAAAGAAGATCAGAGCAGAGAGGCTCCCGACAGCCCGAGTTCTTCCCGCAAACCTGTCTCTAGCCGTGGCATAGTATCAGTCTCTACCAAATTCAATGGCAAGTGCGTACTTCCGACCAAGCTGGGTGTCTAAACAGATGCTGCTCGATCTCTTCAAAGCCCTGGAAAAGCCCACGCGGCAAAGTTCCGCATTTGGTCTTTTCACCATCGTTCCCCGGCGTCGAAAGAACGGGGTAATGTCCTCTCTCTTTTTTAGAGGTGCCTGGCAACCCTTGTCGAGGAATTGATCGTGATGCACGCGACAATTGGAACGGAAAAACATCCCGTGAGGCCGAAACGCTGACAGAACGAGGGTGACCAGTGCTGCCCGATTAAATGGTACGGGCTTTTGCAGAACCTCACGTGCCCATAGCCCGATGGCCTGGCAGGGTGCTCTAAATAGGATCATCATGTACGTGATTCTGTGGAAGCATGGTCTCTTTCAGCACGGGCGACACCTCCATGCTGCTTAGACTCTGACATCTTAGACGGCATTTGAAGCAGTTCCACCCTTTTGAACAAAGCATAGTGCTAGTTGTACTCCTGATGGTATGAAAGCATCCAGAATCCCTTCTCAGCTGTCTTGGCCAAGCCAGCGGGGTGTTTACGCCATGAGTGTTTCTCCCCCACCAAGCCCGACTCGTAGAAGCAGCAAGAAGCTGATTCGACCAAATCCTGGAATGACAAAAGGAGCGCTGGAATTCCTATGCAGATATATGCAGATATAAATATAAATGCAGATTAATGATTATTAATGGCATAACAGCACAGAACCGGTACAACACATCTAGCTGTGGCCTTGACACAATCTTAACTATATAGATATTCTATTCCCCCTTATCATTTTTTTGGCAGGTCAAACATAATGGACAGGGATTTTCTTCACTTGGATGGAGTTTTCAGTCACATTGTCACCACCTCGAGGATGTCGCACTGCTCCTCCAGGCCAATCCCACCTTGCAGCTCAGTTCACTGGCTAAATCGGAGGCTCGACCCGGTCAGACTAGACCATTCCAGTACCAGCAAATGTTCATTTGCTTTTTGCTTGGAGAGGTGAGTTTTGTTAATGCCAGCCTTACGAATAAATGGAATAAACGACAAATAACATGTAATATACATAATAATAAGATAATTAGCGCTTTTCGATGCCTTTCTAGCGCATGGTGTGAGGGAAAATCAAAGGTTGCATGAATGAGATTGAAGAATTCACGAGTTCCATACTTGCTTCCTAATTTAAGGATTCCTAATCGTGCAACATGCTTGGTCGTATTGGGTGAGGCAGATCCCAATACCCCGAAGCCTGGAGTGTGCGTGACCTCAGCACCGTTGCTTCTGCTTGTTTTACTGAGCTTTTGAGGAAGATAGACATGAAAGGACCGAAGATGATTGAAGTTGCGGATGAGATGGTTGGATGCTACAGCCAACGGCTGACCTTAAGGACACTGTTTATCCATAATTACCGCATTTAAAAGGTGGACCCATCATGGCAAGATACCATTGGACCATGATGTCAGTAGCCGTACGCCATGACAGTGAACTATGGTGCCGCGCAGCCGACATGCACAGCAATGTTGGATCAATGGCTATTCAAGATGCGTCCACTCTATCTTCATGGGCGTTTAGATAGAGATATTTGCTTGCTTGTGCTTACTTTGCACTGAGGAATCACTTCCTTCCAGAGAGCATGTTCGGATTACAAGCAAACTATTATCGTGAAAAGGTGGTCTACACACTATCAGCATTTCCTTGTGATGGCTGAGGCGTCGCAGAAGCAGGAATGCGAAGGAAGTTGGTAGGCATCCCACTCAGAGAGGCTGCTGATTGTGCATGATTGTGCATGCCTCCGGTCTCAGACTTCGCTACCCGCTACCTCCAAGGGAGACATCAAAGCATAGTGCTTTGGAGACAGAGGACCAGCTGAAGAGCTCTGAGTGCTGTATCACCTCCTAAAGCATTTTGGGGATCAAAGGAGAGCAGAAAGCCAAACAAGCATGCCTCAGAGGGCCAGGGATACCACCCTTATGTCTTACAGTATATGTCTTGATGCAGGTTGTTCGTTGCTTTTGAATCATCCAGAACCGCTTCCGATCCAACGGCTCACCGAGATCAACTTGCGTGAGGAGAGCTGCTTCAGTATGGACGCCAATGGCTTGATGAATCTGTGCATGACCTATGTGGGGGCCCAAGCTAGGTGCACACCTTGTGCGACCAAAAAGATGTGGCAAGGTGGCAAGCTTTGTGGCAAGCTTTTAGTTCCTCTTTTTATCTCTTTTTGGTGTCTCTCGTGCAGGTGTGTCTTGTTTCATATAGTTTTCTTTTCTGAGCGGGTAGGCTTATGATCAGCTTCTGTGAAACCTCATCCACAATTAAGCCTTTAGAGACTAGAGACATCTAGAGACTCTAGAGGCATGGCTTTGACTTGTTTCGAATTCTTGATCCATGTTCACGTTCACATTTGGTCTCGCAGTCTCGCTCTTTGTTCACCATCTGGCATCAGACTACTGGTGGTTGGAGAGCTGTAGTGTTCTTGTGCAACATTTGAGTGAAAGCTTGAGAACCTGTGCCAAAGATTGCCAAGCTATATTCAAGCATTACCAGTATTCCGGCTTTTCTGGACAGATGAAGTTCATGCAACTTGACCAATCAATTGTATAACCATCCCAACATGTGACACATCGGCCCCTTGCATCTCACGTCTCGCTAAGGCCTTAATGGTTGTATATGTCTTATCCGATGCGGGGCGCACCCTCATCTTACAGAAGGTCCCTTGGACGCTGGGTCAACGAATGTCCGCTTGTGGACGGCTTACCAAACCATGCACCTTCAGCTTTGGCAGTAGAAACAATAAGCTAGTAGTAACAAGTGCATCGCTTCTAGTAACAAGTGCCTTACTAGTAGTAACAAGAAGCTATTAGATTCTTGTTGTTCTGTTTGCAACGAAAGCACTTCTTGCGCTGCCAGGCCTTAAGCACCACGGTGCGGATCTCGGCCCATGGACCGAGACGCGACGGGGTAACGGTAAGAGAGAAAATGGACTCGATGAGCCGGGCATGTAGACGGCAGAAAAGGTCATCCTCCCACAAGATCCACGGTAACAGAAGAATAATGGAGAATAGAGGAAGGACTTGCCAAGTCGTAATGACACACTGCCAGTCATTTTGACTTATTCTTGCTGCAGGTGACCAATTCCACAGTGATGGGTTTGGTTTGCTATGCCTCCGCCTTAGATTCTAATCGGATTCCAGATATTGAAGTGATGACCCATACAGTGGTCGATGGCCAACAAGGCAAACTTTGGAGTTGCCGTTCTTGTTTAAAGCGATGTTCTCGTCTTCTTGTTTAGAGTGAACGAGCGCTCGGTTCTGCGCCGTGGTGAGACGGACGAAAAAGGGTCGCATGTGGTGCCCACGATACGCTCGCTTGCCATAGAACATGCTAACTCCAGTGAGAAAAGACATGAAAAGACATATATTTGACAGAACACGACAGAAACAACATGTATAACCAGGCATTTCATGGCATTTCATCGCACTTCTCGCGTCTCGTGTTTGCAATGATTGGGACCCAGACCTGGTGCTTTTCCTCGTTCGTGTCAGGTCGTGGGCGTCGTGGTGGCAACTTCCCTGACAGCCTACTATGATGGTTTGGATGGCCTCAAGCGGTGAGCTTGGAAACAAGATTAGAAAACGTGAAAGAAGTATGGGGCAAGAGGATGGTGGGGCCAGATGGTCACCACGACTCCAGTTTTGGCTATGAGCTTGCCAGATGTAAGTCTTTATCATGTAAGTCACTTAGTCCCTGTCCCAGCTAGTTGGCCATAGAAGACGACCAAGCGTGGTGTGAACGGCTCCTTGATCCAATAAGTCAGGCGTGCTTGGTCACCGCAGAAGATCCTGTCGCCAGCTCATCACTTGCAGATTATGTGGCTTCCGTTTGTATTGAAAGATCATTGAAGGCAATGGACATTGCTGACTTTGCAGTGTATGTCGCAATCAGGGACCCTCACAGTATCTCATGAACTGTGAAAAAGCAAACAGATTGATGAACTGATGAACTCCTCTTCGCTGTGGCAGAATTGGCCAAAGTGGTATTTGCTGCAAACAGGACCATCGATATGTTTGTGTCTAACATTCAACTGCCTGTGCACTTAATGTCCCACTGAGATGCCGCAGGGTCCCTTGAGGAACAGTAGTTGCTTTGCGGTTGTACCGGGCAGCAGCCTTGCTTTCATGTGATGTATTGCCGCTTAGCACCTTCTACCCAGGCATTGCCTTCCCGCTGCTTTCCTATTTGCTTTGGCTACAACACTTGGAAACTTGGAGTGGGCCCCAACGACAGGGCCGAAGTGGACGCAGCATGTCAATTGGTCGCAGCGGCCGAAGCTCAAATTTGGCCACCAATCCGGAGAAAGCTGCCAGATTGGCCCAGGTTGATACTCACATGTTGGTACTCACATGTTGGTATGAGACACCATAAGGCACTACAGTAACAGGCTAACAGGCAGAAGTCCTCCTGTAACCCATCAGCTGCCTTTGCGAAAGTCTCAGGGCTTTGCCATGGGCATCAGCCCTGCCCTTTATCTAGCTGGACTCTCAGCTTTTGGCGAAGAAGGGATGTGGACACCGTGGAACATGCAGATTCTGACTCTACATGAAGAATTGTTAATATCAGGGGTTCATCATGCTTTTGCAGGGAAGCTACGGAGTTTGTTTGATACCTGTGTAACTTTACCCCAAGGTGTCAACATCCAAAGTAGTGGTGATTATCCTTAAATGAGATACGCCTACTGATACGGTAGAACAGGGATCTGTGATCTTCCCCGTTTCGAGGATCACAAAAAGTGGAGAAGAGATTGGTCAAAATTGGGTCTGTTAATTCGAAACACTAGGCACCTTTCAGCTGCAGGTGTTGGGCAAATTCTACACTCCAGTTGCAGCCTTTTGCGCTCGCAGGGACCTCAAATGCTTCCCGAGTGAAAGGCTGATGACATTACCGGGTTGCTGCTCAGCATGTTTGTCAAACAGGAAGCAAGAGAGAGAGAGAGAGGACGAGAGGACGAGAGGAGGGTGAGGGATTAAATGGTATTCAGTGAAGAACTCCTTAACTGACGTTGCCCCGGAAACTGCTCCAATTTTGCTGGACGTAAACCTCATGATCGCAGTAGATCCACAGACAGTTCGGGTGGTGGGCGGGGGATTTCATGTTGTGTTTGGGACATTTGAAGATCGTTCAGGCTATTCTGGCAGGGGATCTATCATGTTCTATCACAGGTCTCAGGATAGATTGTGCAATTTAGGCTTTGTCACAAAGGACGCAAC